TGCGACAAAGGCGAAGAGGAAGGCTGTGGAGAGCCAGTTGATTGCGGATTCGGAGACGCGGTAGTAGGTTGCTGCGTTGGAGGCCACGGGGGCGAAGGTGAGCCACTGTGGGTGGTTTGGTGTTAGTATCTTTGGTCTAACCGTGATATTGAGGTGTTGGTGTTTTGGTGGTTAATGTAGGAAAGGTAGCAGGAAGTGATTAGTCGTCAGCCTTGTTGACGATGTGCTGTGCGATCGATGGTGGCTTGTCTGATGCAGGTACCCGTATACCCTTTTGCGATTCGTTTATAGTTGGCCCAGAAATTGACAAAAGGTTGGAAGAATATATTTCTACTTACATCCCACGAGACAATGATGTTAAGCAACGTCAACTGCGCGAGACCGAACCAGCGGCGCTTATACGTGCGATACTCGACGGCCGTTCCCTCGAGGACGCTATTATTGTCGCCGTCGATAATACCACCACCAGCGACACCACCCGCCCCCGTGATGTCGTTGTCGCGAGACCGGGAATCCACATCGCGGAGGTGATACTCCTCGTCGCCGAGCTTGCCAAAGCCGGAGCCGGGGTGGGCGTGGTTCGGCATTGCCGTCGGGGCGGCGGCGGTGTCGACGGGGGATTCGAGAGCGGCGTCGACGGTAGCGGGGGTAGGGTTCGCGGCCGTCTTTTCGTTCTCGTTTACGCCGGTGTGAGGTGAGGTTGCAGTAGTGGTGGTGGTGGTAATGTTGTTCGTGGTGTCGTTGGTGGGAGGAGTGGAGTTGTCGACCGAGGGGTCGTTCTCCTTCTTCTGACGGCGGGAGAAGTGCATTTTGTGTGTATATGTGTGCCGGGTCCCAGGTGTCTTTTAGTGGGCGCGAGCGCCAAACGGGCCAGAACTTTTTGCGCGCTAGGGAGCCCGATCTTTGGTTGTAGGGGGGCCGTCGGGTGTCGCAAGTTTTCCTGAGACAGCGGGCGAGTGGGCGCAGCCACGGAGCGCTGGGTTCGCCCGGGGCAGGTTGTGGACGGTGGATTAGCGGGCAGGCGGGCGGGAGATTGGCCTAGGCGTGTCTTGGCAGGGAGTCCTTGACTTTCGAGTCGTTCCACGCTTTTATCCTGCGGGATTGTGGACTTGTACGCAGTAAAGCCTGTGATTGTCGGTCGTCCGTCTCGAGTTCCTCCTATTTCCTCCAAGGCTCTCCAGCACTGCGTGGAGATGGGACGGAGAGCAATGCGCTGGGTTGGGGAGGAGAGAAGAGGGTAACTGGGTAAGCCCGCCCGTAAATCACAAAAAGTTGTGCCAAGAGCCCAAGAGGAGGGAAGGATGGGAGGGAATGAACAGGGCCGGGGAAAAGAAATAATAAGCTGAAGAAGAGAAAGCGGAAAGGTCGACTTAAGAAGAAACCTGCCTGCCCCGAACGGAATATTGGCAGAATCGACAAGACGCGGGACGTGGGAACAGGAACAGGAACAGGGGGCCACAGATGCAGTGCAACTGATGCGGCCGATACCCAGAGAAGGTAAGGTAAGAAGGCAAGGCATTCGATCAATCAATTCCCCCCAAAAAAAGTACAGAAGATCCCTCGAGTCCAACGGCCCAACTTCCCCGGTCTGGACTGGTGTGTACCCTGTGCTTTTTTGCTCGTGCCGTAGGCCGTGTATGTTGGTCCAGAACGATTCTTCACTTTCCTGATCCTCTCAAGTTTGCATTACACTGGGGGGGAAATGGCGCTCAAACTCTCCACCTCGCGTGCTTTCCACGAAGCATTGGCGTACGACTATTCATTATCCCACTTGACCAAGATTCCCGTATGGACTGGGGTAGGCACACCAAGCGTCGCGAACTGAGTAAAAGGCAGAAAGAAGCAGAAAGAGGGGAACGAAGCTACCTAAGCTAAGCTCAGATCCAAATGAACCACTCACTGTACCCAGAAAGCTTGACTGCAGCATCGTAGCATTCGACAATGGGCTCACATGCCCACCCACCTAGCCGAGGACCAAGAGATATGCATGCAGTACCTAATGAACTTCGTACCTAATAACCCATCATCTCACATATCCCAGAATGCAACCAACAGAATCGGGGTTGCTCTCAAAGTTCCTCGAATCCGTACTGGTACGGCGCAGCAACCGACGGGCGACCCTTCCCCGTCCCCCTCGGCCCTCCCCCATTGGCCCGCCTCCCCGGCCGAATGCCTCTCTTTAGGCCACCTCCTCCGGGTCCCTTCCTCCGCTCCACAGGGTAACATGTACTCGGAAGGGGGGCCTATCCCGAACCTACATGTCTGAGCAAAAAGTGTCTCTGGAGTCGAAAAAGGATGGCCAGTGTCAATTGGAGATACATCCTACCTGAGCAATGCCAAAAACCCTCCTTCTCAAAGTAGACGAACAAGAGTTAGATAGGCTTGAGAAAACATGGCTACGGTAGCATGTGTACACATCTTTCGACTACCCAATCGTCTCATCTACTTCGCCGCACACGAGCAGATTTACTGCGTTCCCAGTGTTCCCATGCCCGTCCTCCGTCGTCGCGCCATAAGCTCGCCTCACCTCGCCTGCCCTCTCGCCTAGTAAGGTATGCTGCTCTATCCGAGATGAGCTGATCAACTTTACCTTCTTCCGTCAAGTTTTTCATAAACACGTAGCAAAAATCATTTAATATCCATCCCCGAAGCCCCTACTTCTTTCTCTCTCTCTACTAGATTTCTGAGCTGTAGTCCATAACTTGTACACAAACAGAACTGTGCCATGGCTACTGCTTGACGGCTCCCGATTCGGTCTCGAGGATGGAGACCTCTCTTAGTTCAAGAGCCCCAACTATCGTTCGTCAAGATCAGAAATAGCGCCATTGACAACCAGCCGCGTTAGTTCAACACTCATCATAATTCCGATCCGCATGCAGGTAAAAGTCATGGTGAAATCTATTGCGCGATATGCCTATGGTACAAAAGACAAGATCTTTCGGCGCCGCAAGCCGGACAGCGCCCACTACTGAGCAACCCGGCTTGACGAGCACCACTGGGGTGAGGGGTGGAGGTACAAGGGGTAGGTGGGAGGTCCCAAAGGAAACTCTAGGGCCGGTTTGCTAGACAGTTCCGTTCTCGTCTTCATCTCGTCTCGGCAACGACATTTCTCTCTCTCTCGCGCGCGCGCGAAGCCCACTCTCGTAGAAATAGAACACCAGTCGTCCAATGCCGCTAATGCGAATAATGGGCTCGGTCTCGAAAAAAGAAGATGAACCGCCGATGCCGTTCCGTCGTTCGTCGTCTGCGATGTCAAGACTGGGGAAATGTTGCATTTACTTGAGCTTAGCCCAGAGCTTGGGGGCAGCGCACTGGGTGGCGCAGTGAGCAAGGTGGAAGACTACACCAGAATGTCAGCTTTCGTCGGCCCTGTAGTGAGCTTCTTTGACCGTCTGCCATTTGCCCATCATATACATATGACGGACAGATGTAGAACTTGGTGACAACTTACACTCCTCAACGCAGTCCTCCTTGGCACCCTCCTCGCTGTCGGCAGCCGCCGTGACGCGCTCAACGCACTCGTCGTAGTGGTGCTTGGCCGGTGCGCAAGCCTTGGACTCCTCGCAGTCTGTCACCCAAAATCGTCAGCAACTCGTTCTGTAGAACTTCGAAATTTCGGACAATCGCGTTTAGCGGGTCGATAACGTTGGGAAGCAGGCGTTCGGGTGTCGATGGGAGAGCTCGCGAAATTGCTCATGTGCGTGTCATCGACTGTTTCCCGCCCAGCAAACCGAATGTCGCGTATCGCCATCGAATCTTGTGTCGGGGGTTCCGGGAGTAGTAAAAAAACAAGAACGAACCTTTCTCGAGCTGCTCCTTGGGGTCGACGGTCTCCTCCTCATCCTCCTCTTCCTCTTCTTCCTCCTCCTCTTCCTCTGCCTCCTCCTCCTCGGCCTCGGGCTCCTCCTTGGACTCCTCCTCAGCGGTCTCCTCCTCCTGAAGAAAGAAACATTAGTCAACGGTTCTTGTTTGTCGAAAAAAACTGCAGAGCGAATGCGAAACGAGGACAGCGACGAAGGCGGGAACGTGATCATCGCCCAACCTCAGGCCATGCCCTGCAACAAATTGCGCGCAAAAAAAATAGCTTCGCTCACCTTCTCCTCGGCGGCAGGGGCCTCGGCCTCGACGGTGGCCCAAGGCATGGCGGCCTCAGCGAGGTCCGTGATGGTATCCCAGAAACCCATTGTGGCGGAGGTGCGTGAATTGGCTTGACGTGATGTCGTGGATAGTGGTTGATTGGGGGTGGGAAGTCGGGAGCTTTCGGCAGAGACGTCGAAGGAACGAAAACTGGGTGTTCTGAATTCGGTCGTAAGTTATTCCCAATTGGCCCGTTTTGATTGGCTGCGGTGGAAAGGCTGGGTGACTAAGCGTCATCGACCGCGGGAAACCGCCAACGTGACCGTGGGCCGGAGTGCCAAGGATCTGCCGTTCCGGTGCTACTACCTCGAGCCCGGTTACCTCTATACCGGTACTTACCACTTACCTGAGTACCTCACCTTACCTAGGTACCTTGCCTCACTTCACACCTTTGAGACCGGCCGAAAGCTCCCAAGCCACCATCTCGTCACAATCACATGGAAAAGTGGAAAAGCAAAGGGAAAAAGATCAGGCAAGAGAAAGTTACGGGGGAAGAAAAGTTCCTCGCATGGTTGCGTCAAGCTTCCCAGCGTTAAATTCAACCATCATGCTTACTGAGATGGCTGCCACTCATCACACAAGGTCTTGTCCATCTATACCTTGCGAGATGGTTCGCGCACACTGTGATTGCCTCCATCTCTTGTGCCTGGGGGCATGCATCCCAATCCTCGTGTTCTCGCCCTCGTTCTCCTCATCAAGACGTGCTCATCATTTCTCTACACTTCAAGTTCGTTAAGAAACGCAGGATCCGCCCGCCGCTAGTGTAGATGCTATAAAAAGTTACAGGTGTAGGGAGTGAAATGCAGGGAGGTATCGATGCAAAAAAGCGTTAGTCATGAGCCCGTGATGAATCAAAACCCCCGCTATGCTCTGTCAGACTCTTCGCGAACATGGTCCTCGAGTCGCATGCTGAGCGTCTGTGCTTGCGCCTCATCATAATCCGGTGGGGGTTCGTCCGGACGCCGGTTCGCATTCTGACCCCCCGAACTCGCCGGCCGACCGGCTGCTTCTTCCTGCTGCTGCTGTTGCTGCTGTTGCGGCGCCAGGCTGCTCGGAGCTGCTCCGCCGCCCTCGGTTGCTTCGTAGGCCGGCAGCGGCTCGTCCGGAATGTTGACCGTCTGTCCCGTTTCCTGCTGCAGACGCCTCACATGCTCAAGTCGTTCCTTGAGCTCCTCGAACCTTTGCCGGAACTCGCTGTGACCGCCCTCCTTGAAGCTCATCTTCACCTCGACCCGTGGTATGTCGGCAGGCACGCCGCCTCCAGAGACGGGCACGACGGTGGCGGACCAGAACCAGGCGCCAAAGAACGGCGAGCCAACGTAGGAATCGGCGCAGTTCAAGATTGGCGCATGGAACGACTTGAACTCGGCGGTGGGTTTTGCAGGAATGTAAATGACCTGGAGCAGGGTGATCAGCTTCGCCCTCCGGCGCCATGTCTTGGGATAAGTCATGTAGTGCATACCCGTTGTGTTGTGATGTATGCCGTGCCATTGTCGCTCTTGCGCGCAAAGGGCGTCCTTCCTTGCTGTAAGGCCTTGGGTACCGACAGCTCGAGGCTTACTTTGGCATTGGATCTGTGTCTGATGTGTTCGTGAGGAAGAGGGTTGATGTCACCCGTCTGGGTGATCATGACCCAACTATCACCATGGTCAGAATCTAGGCGGGCCTGGGCAAGCTGTCGTTCTCTCTGGACGGTGCGGGCAATGGTAAGGGCATGCTGCTCTTGCAGATACTGATCCGTCATGGTGGACGGCAAGTGTGGGGGTGGTATATAACCGAGAGGAGTGTGAGAGAGAGGAGGTTGATTTGATGGTCGAGGTTGGCAGCGGGGTTACCACGGACGCTGGCCGGGATGACTCCGTGGTGCTGGGGCTCGGGGCGGCGTGGGATGACGGGAAGATGAAGGGGAAACAGAGGCAGAGCATAAGAGGGAAAGGGAACATGGAGGGACGTACTTTATTGACATTTTGAACGAAACGGCGAGCAGCTGCAGCGCAGAGCTTCCTAGTTCGTCTCAGCGAGTTGAGGGTTGCGTGGGAGTGGGCGTGGTCGGTAGCGGCAGGGCTTGCAGAGAAGCTTCGGAGATCTGGATTGTGGTGGGGTGGATCCTGGTACAGGCACAGGCACAGGGGAGGTACTTTGTGGGAAGGGGAAAAGGGCGTCGCGTTCTGGGCAGCGGCGAGGGCGGCGTCGGCATCGGCGTCGGCTGGTGTTGAGAAATGGTGAGGTGAGGTAGGTAAGGTGAGGAGGTGAGGTGCTGCTGTTGGGTTGCTGGTGCTGTTGCTGGCGGCTGCGGCTGCTGTTTGATACACCTCAGAGTCGAAGCGGCGGCCGGCAGAGAGGATGGCGAAGAGCGAGTGAGTAGGTGCCCAGTGGAAGAGGCGCACCGGAGGGGTGGGCAAGGAAGCAGAGAGGCTGATAGCGTTAGTTAGGTATTAGCTGGGCGGATAAGAAGGGTAAGGCAAGGCACAGGGCAAGGTCAGGTTTGGTAAGGTATACGCAGTATGGGAGAGTGGACAGGGTATTCTCGGAAAGGGTGGAGGAAAATTAAGGTACCCTACCTTGTTGCTACTTGCTACCTTGGAGCCTAGAGCGAGGCAAGGCGCGGCAAGGCCAGGCAAATAGATGTCGTAGTCGTAGTCTGTACTCTGTAGTAGAGGGCAAGGAGGGCAGACGGCTCAAGGGAAGGGAGCGGGCCAGACAAGATGACACAGCTCGACCAAATCAGAGAGAGAGGAGAAGGCCAAGTTGCGGCAACTACTCTGGCTAGCCCGACGACGGTGGCTGGGGAAGTTCGGATGCGTAGGTAGTCGAGGTGGGGGAGGGGTTCTGTGACAAGACAAGCAATGGTGTGATGAGACGGTATGGGATGAGAATAGCTAAGGTATGAGAGGAGGAGGAAGAGGAGGAGGAGAAGGAGGATTCTCTCTCATCAACCTGAGGTGGGATGGGTGTGTAGTGAACGGAGTAAGGTAAGGTAGGTAGTCAGTCACGTAGGTAGTGTAATGCGGATAAGGTGGTTGATGAGACAAGGTGAGGTGAAGAAAGCCCAAGTACTTCCGTACCTCTCCCGGCTCTCCGTACCCAAAAGGTACTTTAGCCACTAAGGTAGCCGTCGCTATTCGTACGTGCTTCTTCTTGTTCTTCTTCTTCGGCTTGGGGGGAGCGGGGGACCCAATGAGAGACATCGGCGCGCCGCGCAACTGGATGAATTTGTGTCCACATAGGTGAGAGTGCCAATAGGCCCAATACTCAAGTGTGTGTGTGTGAGTGTGTGTGAGTGAGAGTGTGCGAGTATCGATTGGATCCAGGCCCCCCCTCCAGGTGTCTCCAAAAAGTCTCCAACTGACCTTAGGCCGTTAAGTTGCGTCCTGCGTCTTTGCGGGTTCCCTGAACTCTTCTCTCTGTGTCCCCAACTCCCTTTCTGCCGCTAGTTCACGCAAGTCGTCCAACGTCTGTCGATTCGCCGTGTCTTGTTTGATCTGCTGCTCACTACTCGCTGCTGTTGGGTTCCATTTGTTTGCTTCTGACATCCACGCAGGAGAGAACTATGGCTACCTTGCCTTGGCGTGCCAGGTACACAGTGCACAGCTTGCTTCTTTCTTTCCTGCTTGCCTGCTTCCGCTCATCACTGCTCCTGCGTGAAGAACGATGGAGTCTCGACTGGAGTATCCGTACTCGTATGAATCGTTCTTCCTGCCCTTGATTCTCCTCCTTCTCCTCCTCTTCCTCCTTCGGTCTAGGTAAAGTACTCATCCACCAGTCGTCGGGAGGTTTGTACATACGCTGCAGGTGTGGATGAGATGCCAGCGACATGGGCCCTCTGGGTCAGAACTGCTGCAGCCCAGAACAAGACTCTGGACGAATGAGCTCAGCGCTTGGCCAGGGTTGGCTGGGTCGGTCCTTTACGACCACACTGCAGGCATGGATAATGGGGGGGGGAACTCTGTGCGCCGCGCAGTAGCAGGCGCATTGGATCACGCAGACTCGCAGTAGCAGCAGGCCTGGGACCCGTCTGCTCAATGCAAATTTGTGAGATTGCGGAGCTTGAAGCGACGTCGTCCTGCAGTTGGCCCAATCGACTGACCCTGGGGTCTGTACTTGATCTGATCCGTCCGAGGTTTACCTGCCAGCCGGCGCAAAAGTGGGAATGGTGTCCAAGTTGCCCCCTACCTCTGCCTAGGGAGCCATGTTGTGGTAAGTCTTGACTAAGGACCGACCGACGGGCGACACCCAAGGACAAGGTCGACGGTCGACCGAGATACCAAGCGGCTGCGGCTTCTGGCATCTGCTGCTGGCATTCCCGTCTGCCCTGCGTTGCGCCGCCGGGCTGCTACCGGTAGTACCTAGTGTAGGCGCGAATAGAGTAACAAGTAGCAGTCATTGACCTTGGAGATCTCTCTCCAAGAGGGACGGATGACCAGGTCTGGGACCAGATTGCTAGGAAGAGTGCAGGCCAGGGATCTCGGGATGGACGCGCCGATCCTTTTGCACCCAACTCGAGCCAGGAACCCTCGTCTTGAAACAAAGCCTCTATGAAGCTCTCCCGTCTAGATTGGCTCGGTGAGCGACTTTCACCTTGTGACAGCAACGACAATCCCTCGAGCCATGATGCCAAGGTCACCGTCTCCAGCTCGACTGCTCGGGTTTCCCAGAAAGGCAGTGAACCATGATTATGAATCCAAGCAGGGCACGCCCGTGTCTTGGTGCCTGAAGATGACTCCGACGAGTCCGAGAACGACCTCATTCGTACCTAATCGCCCTGTCTGCCTATACGACTTTGGTTGTGGTCGTGGTTGTGGCATGCCTAGCTCTAGACTGTCGGTATCAGTCATGAGGGACATTGTGAACCCTGAATTCTTCCACCGCGGACACCCCAAGGCCCAAGCCGACGCAACGCGCGGCGCGGCATATGTCTCACGCAAAGACCAGACGAACAGATGTCAGTTGTTTTGCATGTTTTAGAAAAAGAAAAGAAGGTGTCTCCCCCCGAGTCAAGCGGAATGACTCGAAATGGCTGCTAGCTATCAGCTCGTGCCGCAGACATACGCAGTTGAAGCAGAGAAACGGGGATGGTTAGAATGGGGAGCTTGAATTGAGACCTTGGGACTCGGGAGGGAGACTTTGTGGAAACCATCCAGTGTTGTCCCGTTCCCGTTCCCCGTCAAGACCAGTACCATCCATGATCTTCAGCGGCCCGGGACTTGCCATGCCATCGGGGCCGTCGAGCATGCGGTCGTTGGGCTTTGTCCACCTACGTCCCACAGCGCAGCCAACCTAATGCCAGAGGGAGACCCAGCCAGGAACAACTTTGCAAAAGCAGCGCCAGTGGCGGGCTTACATTCATCGTCAAAGACGGAGTACTCTGGCAGCGAGTGCAGCGTGGTCGGCCACATGCCTGCGCGGTACCCAGAAGATACTCAGTACCCCTGATCATTGTCCTGCTTGGAACCCGGTAATAAACGGAGATCTCTGGCGGGGTTTCTGGAGGAGGAGGAGAAAAAGACCAGGGGTCAGGCGGCGTGGTGGCCGTGGAAAACTCATGTGCTTGACAAACAGAAGCCGGACGGATAGCGAGGTGGACAGACCCCAGGCGCGTTGGTGATAGATGGCCAGTGACGAGCGCTCCGTGTCATGTCGTTGGAGTCGTCGCCATCTCGGTATCTCCCTCTTGGGCCGGCGATTGGCCCCGGTGAGTGAGGGGTATAGCTACTATAGCCCAGATTTGGGGCCAATGTTGCATTGCCAATGATTCGAGAGGTTGTTGAAGGCGACGCAAAGTATACGGGGCATACGGACAGAGGCCAGCGTTTAGCACACAGGCATTGTTGTTTGGTGGAAAAGTAGACGGGTCGAACAGAGTCACATACCACGTCAATACTCCAATACTTGATGCTCCTCCTCTTTATAAGGTAGACTCCATGCTTTCCCTCGTTACCTAAGGTAAGGTACGATGGCTCGGAACCTTCCAGGTAACGTTTGTCGCCACGTGAAGTCGTGATAAGGTAGGTACAGGAAGCATCGTCGTTCTTGCTCTCTCGGTGTGAGATGAGGTACCTAAAGTACTTAAAGTAGCGACGTTGACCATTGGTCGGGAGTGCGAGGCGCTGCTTCCCAATTGGAGCTTGAGATTCCGTCGTCTTGTCGCACTCGCTGGCTCCTTCCGAGTCTAGATCCCTTCCTACCTTACCTTACAAGTTACCATTGACTATTGCCCCGAACCTCACCTTGCTTACACCGGACTTACCTCAATTACTAACAAGATACTCGAATACTTCTCCGCACGCATAATCTTCCTACCTACCTGAGGTACCTGCTTGACCTTACTCGTGGCTGGGCAACACGGCGACATGGCGACACCAGACAGGCACCGTATTCCTCCCGACGCAACGGACATCCTTCTCTCCTTTCGGCCGCAGAGAAGCACGTCGTCCACGTCTGCATCCACCATAATTCAAAAGTCTGACCGCTTGTCCGCATCCTCTGCCCTCTTTCAGGAACATGCGAACTCCGAGGAGGCCAGGGCCGCATCTCGGACACTTGGAACCGACCCATCTCGAAGCCTACCTTAACAAACTTCCCTGTCCGCCAATGTCCCCAAGCTCCGGACGACAAAAGTCGCGCGGCACAGCCAAAGAGCTGCATGAGAAGCGAGCCCACGCCGCAAACACAATCCCATTGTCAACAGCACTTTGACGAATAATCACGCTACGACTACATACGTATCCGTACCTACGCCTTCTATCGTCTTTCCCCGCCGGCCCATGTCTCATCATGTGACTGATCGACCCATTCGCCTACCGTGTATATGTCGCCGATCGACAGGATGGTCTCTGTCTTACAACTGCTCCTCCTGTCTCACCACCAGCGATAGATACGACCGCCGTCTGCGCACACTGGCGACGAGACTGGTTCGGCGTGTGAGCGAGAGGCGGAGATATAGCCGGCCAATGGCAACAGTTAGCCAATGATTCCGACGATTCTAGGTCCCTTCATTCTCCGGCAGGCATTACTTGCGACTGCTGCACCTCAACTCCACCAGTCTCACTATCGGATTCCTGCCCACACCCATATAGGCTCTTAATCCGCCCGTGTTCCCTGGACCCGGTAGATGGGCTGTTCAACCAGGCCGGTATCGCGCTTTTCGCAATAATCTGGGCCCGCGGTCTGTTTCCGCCTTCTCGTTCTTGTGAGCAACAAATTACAACGCTGCTGCATCAACAGACGTCTCTGCGGAAAATGCAATCTTGGAAACGTCTAGAAGGCCACACAGCGTTTGACTCTGCGCAACTGCCAAGGTGGCACCGCAGCCGTTCCAGCCTACACAGTAGTGTACACTACATACCGAGAGTGCCTTACCGCACCGGGTACGGATGCTGCGCGCAGATGCTCCATGAGGTCCCCCACCAAGCACAAGCCTCCAACGTGCATTCCTGCAAAGCCCACCCTCCTCCATCTGGGACGGCATGTGATTGGAGGGGCTGTCCCACGGCGGCTCCCGAGCATCCAACTTCACCCGGGCCCTAGCTGCGTCGAATGTTTGACCTCTAGTAACCAAGATGGTGCGAGCTACTGTCTGATACATCCGTACAAAATATCTTTGGCTTCAACATCATCACTTACAACCGAGGTTCCGTGATTGCTACAAAAACATCGCCCCCTAACTTGTCTCTGTACAAGGAACCAAAATCTCACAACTCATTCCACTGTCGATTAGTCGCTTAACGCTACCATGACCAGCACGCACGACGAACGAATTGCAGCTCTTCAAACTTTCACCGCTTGTGACATTTCAGATGCACTCCTGAAGCTCAAAGTACCCGGGGCTGGCTTCCTGCCTGATCTGCAACTGCTGGGCCAACCGAACCCCGCAGATGCTCCCATCACCATAGCACCAGCATCCACGATACTCTTCGCTCGGAAGGGCGAAACGTTGGACTCGCCCGCCGCAAATATTCCCAAAAACACACACTGGGCTGATATCACCCAGCCTGGTACCATCGTGATCATCAGACAGCCCGACGGGCAGAAGAATGCCGTCTGCGGAGGAATCATGGCTGTGAGGATGAAGGTTCGGCAAGCGAAGGCGATCGTAGTAGTAGGTCGCGCCAGGGATCTGGACGAACTAACCAGTACGGGTCTACCGGTGAGTCGAATAAACCACCCGGGTCCTTTAGAATCTTCTCCAAGTCCCCTAATCATCTCACCGGTCGCTGAACCTTCTTAGGTCTGGTCAAGGGGACTCTCCACGGTTGGCGCAGGGGCAGAGAGTACCCCTTGGGCAGTCGAAGTACCAATCAATGTCGATGGCACGGTTGTCAACCCTGGCGATCTCGTTTTCGCTGATCCGGTGAATGGGGTTGTCGTCATCCCCAAGGATCAAGTCGACAAGGTCCTGGAGCTCCTCCCCAAGCTCACAGCTGCCGACGACAAGGTCAAGGCGGACGTGCTGAATGGTACATCCGTTTTTGATGCCTTTAAGGCGCACCGGAGCAATCTCTAAATACAGTTGGAAGGTTATGACCATACCTTGCCGGGAACTTTCGGGCTCGACTGGATGATGAGATTCTGCGGGTTGCAAATCATTTGCTGCGTCGGCAGAGGTGCCTCGCTCACATGAAGACACCCAGTCCTACATCGTGACTTTACGGCAAACGCTTGGGTCCTCTCACTGTGGGGTGGTACTCATTCGTGGGACAATGTCGTTATCCTAGGACGTGGATTAGGGGGAATGGAGGCGTCCATTGGGGCGGGAGCTACCTATGCAATGCATAACCCATCTTCTCGTCACAAATCCCTTGCGACTCCAACGCACTGATACTGACGACCGCAAGGGTCCTTCAAGCGAGCCACCACCACCATCACTGTCAGAACTAATCCGTAACTTCTTCCTATAGGACTCGACCCTTGGCGCCCCTTTACGAATCATGAACCGACACCGCACTCTGCTCTACCGACCAGCGGCCCGCGGGAAAGGAAAAAGGGCTGGCTGTCGGGCAATTTGTGCAAATGTGTTGACCCCCGTCATCTCCGAGTCTTCCAAGAAACTCGTCTGCCATTCTGAGGCACGACGACTTTGTCTGACATCCGTGCCCTCGGCTCAGGCTGACCGCCCCCGGCCTCTATCGTTTCCCCCTCCTCTTCTCTCTTGCCTCACTCACTCTTGACTTTGCCCTGCGCACGGAAGACGGAGTGCGTATAGAACATTCACGGATAATTCGGTATCTCTTCTGATGAAGGGTTCAAGCCCGGTTAGGCTTCTGTTAGAATTCAAGTTTAACAGGTCATCTTTTCCCCCTTCCACAGAACGGGATTGGAATCTTTATCGACGGAGGGGAGGCCCGGGTCTTATCATACTACGACTGGCAAATGATACAAGCCGCAGATGCTTGCTCCTAAGAGGGCTGCTAAACTGTTGAAACCTCACAAGACCCTGGGAAAAGGGCATCGCCTAGGGTAGTCTGTCTATCTGACGAGAGGGGGGTGTTAATCACCTACCTTACCTTACCTTACATCCTACTTACCGGATGCCCCGAGCACATAGAACCCAATTCTGAAAACAGATACACAGATATGTACCGAAAATCGCTATGTTGGAGTTGAGAGCGTGCTTGGGGGGACCGCGTAGTTGAGAAGTTGTACCGCGCCGAGTGATTTCCCTGGGAACCCTGGGAAAGCCTGATCCCGTTCAAGGTCGATCTTTTTTGCGCCTGTAAAGCCGGGAGAAACGAGAACCACCACATAAGGCAGAAGTAAAGAGGCTCCAGCCTGCCCTCCACAAACAGCGCAAACTTGCCCTACGAATCCCGCATCACATCGTTTCTTTAGGATTCGAAGTCGCTATAGTAAAATAAAGCATGTAGGGCCATATCGCTGCGTACCGTATGAGTCAAAACACACACCGGCACCGTATGATTTCCCTCACAGTCCAGATCTCGTCAAGGCCCGGAGGGAAAGTCCACCGCGTAGAAGGCAAAAGGCCATATTCAGAAACATTTGATTCGACTCGGTCCCCTTGAATTCTCTTCTTTTCCCCATTCCCTCATTAATGAAACAAAAAAAGGAAAACGAACGGACAGGCTACAGCACAAGAAAATAACGGCTTTTTCTATGTATGATGATCATCAATTCATAAACGTTGCCCTTCATAAGAAGCATTAGGCAGCATGATGTGTCTCCCCCCTCTCACTCTCCCCCCTCTCTTCCCCCCTCGTCTCTCTCTCATTCTCACTCTGTTTGTGCGTATGTGCATGTATACCCAGGACACCTTCTCTCACCCTCTCTCTCCCCCTCTCCTCTCTCTGCTCTCCCCCTCGTGATCCCATCCCCATGCAAGGAAGGAAAATCACACACGAAAAGGAGAAAAAAAAAAAAAAAACACAACTCCTCCTCTCCCAAAGATCCAAACCCCGAAAAGGAAAAATGATAAAAAAAAAGCCCACAAGGAAATGAGACAGCGCCCCCGGAGCGTCCGCGAACCCCTCCTCGTCTTCTTCTTCCGCCTTCTTTTCATCGTCTTCTTCCTGCTTCAGCCCTCGCCTGCGTTGACAATCTCCAACGTGTGATGTGTGTATGCGGGATACTGACACTGAGGGAAGACTCAAACGAGCTCGACGCGTTCCATGTCGAAAGATCGTGCCGCTGGAACCTTTCCCCATGCTGTTGCTTCGACCCGTTCCCGTCGCATTTGATGTACAATAGTCTCCATCTTTCCACAAGCTCATGGATACTCATGATGCTCACGATGCTCACGCCCCTCATGAGAGCCAAACGTCCCTCTCCTTAACAGGCGTAACCCGATGATTATCAAGCCCAAAATCCAATTTCGGAATCTCAATCTTGGGCGCCGCGTCAACGGGCTTCTGCGCCTTCTGCGTCTTCTTCGGGCTCGCGCTCCGCGACTCGGGCGGCGGCCCGTACCGCACATCCCTCGAATCCCACCCGTCCTCCGTCGCCGCCGCGACCCAGCACCGCAGCGCCTCGTGCACGCAGCCGTAAAACTTTTCTTTGCACAGCCGCAGACTGCCGCCCAGCA